CAGACTTTGGTTGTGCGCCTGAAGTCAGACCCACCCAAGAGAAAAAACAATCTAGATTTCTGCACAGTGGTGGAGTTTCAAGAAACGTCTGGAGTGCGCGGGAGAATTTGGGGCTCGGCTTGGTGGGACTGTGAACCTTTAGCCTTTTAGTCTTGTTAGATCTCCCAGATCTTCAAGGGGTGGGGGGAGGGAAAGCCACTCTTCCTTCTCATCTACTTTAATTTAAGCTTTGGGCAGGGATGCGCTAAGTCAGGGCGAAGGAGGGTAGATGGAGAATTCCCTTGTGCGCGGTGCATTTTCAGTTAGCGGCCGCTGCTGCCGCCTCTGCCATCCCCGCGGTGATCCCGAACAGCTATTCATTCAATTGTCTCCGCTTCACCCCAAAGTTTGATTTCATCTGCCCCAAGTTACCTTGAATACTGTTCAAGCTATAGTTCATGAGCAGGGCGAGAAGGAGCAGTGCGATTGAATTCATTTCGAAAAATAACTGTAGTAAACACTCGAATTTCAGCTGGGGTTCATCTCTCCTGTGTCCCTGGCCATTTCTTCTTCTTCTCTCTTAGATTTCTCACCTTTCATTCACTCTCCCCTTTTCTCTCTCTTTCCTAGTCTATATCTACCGAAAATTTCCCAAGAGGAAAATGAATGGACAGAGGGAAGGTGGGGCAGGGACTTTTTTTTTTTTTTTTTAAACTCGGGGTCTCAGATGCTCCACTCTGGAGTATCGATACCTCTAAGAGACTATTCTTCCTTTTCTTCTGGCCCGATAGAACCTCAGAGTCATGAACCAAGAACCCATGTTCATGGTGTATGTATAAGTTATTTTTAAGGTAGCTAAATATGCATTTTTAAAATCACAGAGTCTAAATTGATGCTCCATTGGAAGGCTGCCCTGTGGCCTGAGGCCTGAGTGTCCTAAACTCATTCTTTCCAACAGCCCTAGAAACTCAAGTCCCCAGAAATGTGTGTGTGTGTGTGTGTGTGTGTGTGTGTGTGTGTGTTTTATGCAAAACCAGCTCTCTCCACTCCCAGGTCTATCATCCCTCTCCCGCATTATATTAATGGCGTGCTAGCCTTCCTCTACGTGTGTTGGCTGCTAATGCGAGCCACTTAATGCTCATCTGTGGAGATTTTCCCAAGGCTAGTTGCAATGTTGGCTCTTTTTTTTTTCTTCTTCTTGTTTTCTTTTCAGGGCACGTTCATCCCTCCCTCCCTCTTCTTCTTTTCTTGAGATGGGGTCTGGAAAGGGGATCCAACAACTTTCAGTGAGTGTGTGAGGCTCCCTCCCGTTTCTGCCGCTTGTCAGTTACCCTGGGATGGACTGGGCAGCTTTGGTGCTCTCTGGAAAGCCCCTAGTTGCATCTAACAGTAAACCTGACTTCATCTTTTCTTCAGTCCTGCTTTCCCTCTCTCTCATTACCTAAGTCTGTTACCAAAGGTCAGGATGGTCCCCACTGAAACTCTACAGTATTCTCCACTCCAATACTCTGAAGAAAATGCCACTAGAAATTGTCACAGAGATGCTCTGCACCTTTGCACGGTCTCGTGTGTAGGGTACGCTTCTCTAGATTAAAGAACTTCTTAGGGATACTTTTTGGGGGCTTGCAGGTATCCCCTCCATGAAGAGGTGTACCCCAGAGATAGAAATCACCCTGTTAAACCTTACTCTCTCCTGTAATGCCGGCCAAAGTCATGAGTCCACATGATTCATGTATCCAGTTTCCAAGGAGAAGATCATCAGCAAAAAGCCAAGTAAAATTAGATGTGTAATAAATGTTATATAGTGGGTTTGGTGATGGGTTTATGATTCACAGATGAAATGTTCTTGCCACTTAGAAGTTGGTGACGCGCAGACGCAAGAACTGTTTCCCATTTCTAGCTTTACCGTTCTTTCCCCAAGAATCCTTAGGAAGTTATATCACCTTTGGAGGGGTTCTTCTTCATCTGAAAAAAATAGTAGTTGTTAGTATATGAAGTGCCAGGTATATTCTGTTTGTACAAACTCCCAAGAAATGACACCCCAAGTCATTTCCAAACCACATTTTTTTAAAAGTTGGAAATGAAATCCCATTCAAATTACAGCAGTGCCATCTAGTGGCCATGTGGCTAAATAACAGTAAGGAAGGTGGGAGAGTTGATTTTTTTTAAGGGCATAGTGGTTTTTTTTTCTTTTTTGATACACTTTAATTGTCTGTCTTGCAAAGAGAACTCTATAATATCAAAATTTATACTATAACATAAACACAGATAAATGAAACTATGTTTTACCATGTTAAGTTTTCATCCAAGTCAGTTTGTGCTTTACTAAATTAATTTTACAAATTATCACCAAGAATTGATAACAAGTTACAAACATATAATTAAAATCAAAACAAGTAGACATGTCTGATATTTCTTTCTGGCAGTCATTTATTATTATGTAAGATAATTTAGTCAGTATCAGGAAGACATTAAATATTGGACCATATTTTAAATAACCACCTCTGTGCTTTCTCTGTACCACCACTGATCAAATGTTTTGAAATTCAAAGTAACAGAATTCTTATGCCTGGATGGGCTCCACTTTTTTTTTGTAGAAAAGATTATAAATGGACTTGGTGGGCACAGGTGCAGTCTTAGCGAAGGCAAGCTAGAGAGTCCAAGAATTTTCAGAATAACAACTTTAGCATTTGCTTGGCATTTAACACTTTAGACTGAGGTAGTAGAAGAATTCATCTCATTCCTGTGACTTTGTAAGCCAGCCATATGTGTGGGTGTGGTTTGTGCATGCACCCGCTGAAGTGTGTTTCATATCAGCAAGGCAGCTGATGACTTCTGGAGTATAAGGACCCGTGTTTTATGGTTATTAGTTTTGTATCACATTTCACTTTTGCCAATACTTCCCACAATTCTCCTGTAGAACGTGGCTACCCACTGGCTTAAGAACAAGTGGACTGTCTTAAACATGATAGCTAGAACACTTGCTAGCATAACGGAGAATGTGAGCTAGCCATGTTGCTCTTCCTGACCCTTGTTTCTTTACACATAAAGTGAAAAGGATGAGCCTCTTTACTACTCCATGAAGCTCAGAAGATCCATGAATTTATGAGCCATAAATTCAAAATTTTACCAACTTTTTTTGTGTCTTCCAAGATGAATGGCCTAAGGTAAGAGGTTCAGTCGCTTGGTCTGTTTTACCTGCTATTTCCTGGGGAGGTGGGGGGAACATGCCTTGTTAATCTTATACAGCACCAGCACCTTTAAATCCCAAGTCCTAAATCTGAAATACTCTCAAGCCTAAAACTTTTAAATGCCAACATGCCATTTTATATTTTGGACTATAGAGCATTGGGGATTTCTGATTTTTCAGATTAGGAATCTTCAACCAGCAATGTTGAAAATCTTTTCAAGAAGCTTTTCTGATGCCCGCAATGTTGCTTGTAACCCCTCTTTCTTTGAAATGGGAGCATGGAGATTCAGTATTAATTCTGAATTCATCCAACAACCATTTTTTTTTACCAAGAATAAGAATTGATAAGCCCCCACTTTTCTTCCTGTTTCTACCATATCCTCCTTTTCTTTCTTTCTTTTTTAAATAGCAAAAACAATTCTTCAACTTCCCCAATCAACATTTACAAATTCATTGACATGCACTGGACTCCATCATGCTGTCCATCATAAAACTCATGTGAGGATGCTGATGCCACTGAACATACAGCTGAGGCAGCTGTATCTGAGTTCCTCTAACATATCGTCATCATGATGATAAATTAATATTAATATTCTTAGATAACAGATCCAAAATAGTCTGACTGTAAACAGCCTACATCTCTCCTGGCTTCTATGACCCTTTGAATAAATTCCTTCAGGAACTGACAGTCAGATGTTTCCAGCTTCCATCTGACTAGGAAAGTTATTGAACAAATTTAACAAGGAGAGGACTGCTCGCAGAAGGCACACATCACTCAGGATATACATATGCTCTGCCGCATGGAGGCTGCACACAGACACAGGAGTATCATTTCCACACTGCCCCGGGTTGATAGAAAGCACAGGGTTTTATGAAGAAATTACAAAAAAAAAAAATTAGGAGGAAAACTTGGGGTCTTTCAAAGGTTTCTTTCTCAGGTGCTGTTCTGTTCCGTAGATATCCTTCTGCTCCTCTAGTCCTGGGAATGGCAACTAAAATACCTTGTGCCCCTGGGCTTGTGCAGGGAGGTTTTTTTTTTTTTTTTTTTTTTTTTTTTTTTTTTTTTTTATCCCAAATGCTTGGGACATGAAATGTTACACATCTTTGGAAAATTTACATAGACCTTACTGGTTGAAGATCCCTAATCTGAAAAATCAGAAATCCTCAATGCTCTAAAGTCCAAAACATAAAATGGCATGTTGGCATTTAAAAGTTTTGGGCTTGAGAGTATTTCAGATTTAGGACTTGGGGTTTAGAGGTGCTGGTGCTGTATAAAATTAACAAGGCGTGTTTTCTCCTGGGAAATTTTAGGCAAAACAGACCAAGCGACTGAACCTCTTACCTTAGGCCATTCAGCTTGGAAGACACAAAAGAAGGTTGGTAAATCCTGGCTTTGGGGTCCACACTACTGCCTTCACTTACCCACCTTGGGCTTGGAGCCAGCACGTTAGGAAGTGGGAACATTTCACCATGGGGAGTACTTCCTGATGTGCCCCTCAGTAGGATTCTACCTCATATATTTGAGGACTCTCAGTTTTTAAAGTGTTGGGACCCCTTGCAATGTGGTAGACTCTGTGCTATGGTTTTCTTTCTCCTTTACTTCAAGTTGTTATTTTTTTTCAGATTATAATAACAATCATTTTCTTCTTCCCTTTCCTCCCTCCATCATCCCTCAACCTTCTTGTCTTTCAAATTTATGGCCTCTTTTTTTTAAAATTTTATTTGATATGTGTATTCCTAATACATAAAGACAACCAGCCCAGTCTGTATAATGATACTTTTATGTAGATTTTCTCTCTTTCAGGCTAATGATTGAATGCTCTATCTACAGGAGGTATCACCATTGCAGAGAGATTGTCCCCACAACGTCTTTGCTAGTCAACTTGGGAGGTAAAAGTTTGGAGATGAAAGGAATCTTAGACATCATTCAATTTAGCACCTCAGGAGAGAGGTGACTGAATCAAGGACTTCTTGGAACTATGCTAAATTGAGTCCAGAATATTCTGAGTTTCCTGCCATTGTTTCTTGTCTGTCTCCATGGATACTTAATGTGTTTTATTGATGTATTTGGTTATTCTTTTCTTGCTGGCTGTCTTGTTGACTTGTTTTACAAATGGGTTATATCTTTCGCTGCATGCAATGGCAGAGAGAGTTGTGACTGATATCTTGGATTCATTTTCTTCCAAATTGCTCTCTGCTGCCCTCAACTGGTAGCTAGCCACCAATGCAGACGCGCTATCTGCCTTCATGTTAACCCACAGCATTTTTTGACTCCAGAGGAGATATGGGAAGATTATTAATCATATTACAGAAGTTTTTTTTTGCACAGGACAAACGGAACAGGTTTTTTTTGTGTGTCCACCTCTTATTCTCCATTTCCTCACTCCGTACACATTTGCTTAAGATACACGAAGAAAAGTATTTGGCTTTTTCCTCTCTCAGATATTTGTAACAGAGTATTTGGAAAGACTACTTAATTATCAAATCGAGATGCATTTCAGCTGCTGTAATATCCAGCAGATACTTCTGTAATTACCCATAAGTGAGATTAAGTATTTTATCTCTAATGTTATAAAGAAACAGAGAATAATATAAGGACCAGAAATAGTGGGTTCTCTTTGTTGTGACAAATTTATATTGTGCATATGCTGTATGTCAGACAGCATTGTAAGTGCTGAGAATACAGTACTGGTAACAGGACACAGGGAACCCATATGCTTTCGCTTTTTATTTCAGTTTTTATTAAACATTACATGGACACAGAGTGCTACATAATATACCACAGAACCTTCCAGAAGGAGCCGGTGACCATTAGTACTTTCTCATCCTTCCAGAAAAATGTCTCCTTAAACTGTATTCTCCGAGCCCTGGGACACGCAGTAAGTACTGAATCCAGAGATGTACCCATCCTTTCCCCTGAAGTCCACTGATACAGAAATAGGGATATAGAAATAGGCATCCCTGCCCTGTACCTCCACTCGTGAACTTGCGGATGTATGTAGTGGCTACTTCAGGAATGAGCAAGCACACTCCCATGACACCAAACCCAGAGAGAATCTTTAACTAAATCTACATATGATTACATAAAATAAACCCCACGGGAATGAACACTCTGCAGCCACTGTGCAAGTCAGTGTGGCAGTTGCTCAGAAAGATGGGAATTGATCTTCCCCAAGATCCAGCTACACCACTCTTGGGCGTAGACCAAAAGGATGCTTCACCCTACCACAGGGTACTTGTTCAGTCATGTTCATTACTGCTCCATTCTTCTTCTTCTTCTTCTTCTTCTTCTTCTTCTTCTTCTTCTTCTTCTTCTTCTTCTTCTTCTTCTTCTCCTCCTCCTCCTCCTCCTCCTCCTCCTCCTCCTCCTCCTCCTCCTCCTCCTCCTTCTCCTTCTTGTTTTTTCAAGACAGAGTTTCTCTGTGTAGCTTTGTGCCTTTCCTGGATCTCACTCTGCAGACCAGGCTGGCCTCGAACTCACAGAGATCCGCCTGGCTCTGCCTCCCGAGTGCTGGGATTAAAGGTGTGCGCCACCATCGCTGCTCCATTCTTAATAGCCTGAAGTTGGAAACAACCTAGATGTCCCTCAACAGAAAGAAAATGGATAAGAAAAATGCGACACATCTAAATAATGGAGTATCACACAACCATTAAAAAATAAAATCATGAAATTTTCAGGTAAACAGATGGAACTAGAAAAATTAATCATGAGTGAATTAACCCAGACACAGAAAGATAAATATGGTATATATTTGCTTATATGTGAATAATGGCCATTTAGTAAATGATAAGCAAGCTACAGTCCTTAGACCCAGAAAGGTTATTTATAGGGGAAGGGACTGGAGGAAGACACATGGATCTCCTTGGGAAAGGGACATCAAATAGATCTTATTGGTGGACTGGGGGCTGGGAGATCTTGAGTGCATTATTGATTGACAAGACACATCCTAAAACTGGGTAGCACCATTTCAGTGGGTTTGGATCCTGAAGGGTAGAGAAAGAGAGCTGATAAGTAGGCATACTTTCATTTTTTCTTTGCTCTTGATTACGCATATAATGTAACTATTTCAAATTCTTGCTGTCTCAGCTTCCCCAGGATGGCCAACTATAACCTGGAACTGTGAAGGAAAACAGAATTCTTCTCCCATAAGTTGTTTTTTGTCAGGTTATCTTTTTTTATCAAGGCAACAGAGGCAAAATAGGAAGATAATATAGTTGTCTTCCAGTAGACAGACAAGCCATACCTTCTGTACAACCTGAGTGTGCATATCAGATCAGCTCTACATATCACACGACTTAGAAATGTGCAAATGAAACACTTTATTATTAATTTTTAATTTATATGTACAGGTGGTTTGCCTACAGGTATGTCTATACACCATGTGTGTACATACCTGATACTTGTGGAGGCCGGGAGAGGGTGCCGGAAGTATTGGAACTGGAATCACAGATGATTGTGAGCCACCACATGGGTGATGGGGATCAAACCCATGTCTTGTGGAAGAGCAGTCAGTGTTTTTAACCCACCGAGCCCTCTCTTTAGTCCAAGAAATATATATTCTTGTTGATAAACTATTTAAAATAGCTTTCATTTTTGTTGACTTCAGACTTCAGTTATTTACTTACTTATAAAAGAAGTACTTATTTGGCTTATGACTCCAGAGGCTTAGAATTCATGATGATAAAGCCAAAGAACACCTGAGCGCTTTCATCTTGATGCACAGCTGGTGGGTAGAGAGAGACCCCTAGGAAGCGCTTCAAACCCAAGCCAGGCTCCAGGGACATACCTCATACAACAAACCACACCTCCCAATCCTTGCCAAACAGTTTCACCAATTGGGGACCAACTATTCTAACATATGAGTCTATGGGGCCCATTCTCATTCAAGTGTTCAAAAAAAAAAAGCAAGTAAAGAAATAGAATCATTCAGCTCTTGATCATCTTGTATGGAAATATCAACAAATCTATTAATTCTTATTTCTTTTTAATAAAATTATTTTCCTATTATTTTCATTTCCCCAGATTAATTATAGGTTTTATGGTGGAGGATTATGTATTGCCTATTATGCATCTCTAATTATTATTGCTTGACAGAGAAAATAGCTCCTATTGAGTTAAAAAAAATCATACTTTATTTGAAAAATTTCAAAAGAGTCAATTCATTTGGATCAACTCATCCTTTTCTAATGAGGTGAGTCTATAAAAAGTGTGAACACCCTTTGTCTCAGCCACCAACTCCTGCAAGCATTAACTGGAAGCCTGCTGGCTACCCTGGACAGGGAATCAGTTAGGCAATCTTCATTCTAGTCCTGCTTCTCCAATTTCAGTCGCCCAGACTTATCCCCAGCTCAGTAGCAGACCACCTATTATAGCGAGGGGTTCTGTGCAAATCCTGGTGGTACCACCAGTGAACACTCTCAGCCACTTCCTTCTAGCCCATCCCTATCTTGATATTGTGGGATGACTCATCCCTAACAGGCTTGAGGGCCAGCCAGCCCAAACCAGTAAAAAAGATACTTTCTGAGAGCCAACCTGGGTCTGCCTGATGGCCTTAGCAAGAGCAGCTGAGACATGATCTGGCGATGACCTGGACCAATAAGGGGCAGCCATGTCACACCAGCAGATGCATATTCATCAGATCTTCCCCCAGGGTGGGATGGAGGGTATATAAGGCTTGCCTCTTCCTGAATAAACTGAGCTTCTTGTTTTGACATTAACCCTGAGTCTGTGTGGTTTGACTCTGTGCCTACTTGGCCCCCTCCCACAAAGGAAACAACAGCACAGGACCCTGCCACATGATATCTTTTATTTTTTTTTAATTTTTTTATTTATTAAAGATAGATATTCTTTTCTCACATAATATATCCTGGTTACAGGTTCCCATTCCTTTACTCCTCACCTCCTCTTCCATATGGATCCACTCCCTTTCTGTCTTTTGTTAAAAAATAATGAACGGTGTTCTAAGGGATAGTAATAAAATAATACAAAATATAATAAGATAATCAGAATTGAATAAAACAAAGCTAGAAGGAGCCTAAGAAAAGGCACAAGAAAGAACCACTTATTTGTACACTCAATCTTACAAAGACACTAAACTGACAGTCACAATATATATGCAGATGACTTGGCTCAGATCAGCCCAGGCCCTGTGCATGTTGCCTCAGTCTCTGTGAGTTTATATGTGCATTGCTCATGTTGATTTAGATGGCCTTGTTTTCTTGATCCCCCATGCCTCCATCTCTTACACTCTTTCTGCCTCCTCTTCCAAAGGTTTCCCAGAGCCCTGAGGGAAGGTATTTGATGGAGATACCCCATTTAGGGCTGAGGGTTCCTAAGTCTCTCACTCTCTTTATAATGTCCGGCTATGGGTCTTGTATTTGTTCCCATCTGCTACAGGAAGATGCTTCTCTGATGATCCCTGAGCAAGACACTGATTGACAAGTACAGCAGAACATCATTTGGAGTAATTTTATTGCTGCTTGAAAAAAATTTTAAGACCAATAATATTTGGTTTTACTCTCGGTCCCTGGGCTATCTAATTTAAGGTTCTCGGTCAAGCAAGAAGTGTTAGATATGGGTTCCATTTCATGGAGTGGGCCTTAAATCAAAGCAAATGTTGGTTGGTTGCTCCCACAAGATTTGTGCCACCATTGCTCTAGCATATCTTGCAGACTGGACAGTGTAGCTGGGTGGGTTTACCTTTCTCTTTTTGTAAACATGCAAGTACCTACCTCCCTGTACCAAAGATGCTAGAACATAGGGGTGAAGGCTCTATGTAGGCATGAGCTCAACATTCCCATGTTCAATGACCTGGGTGGATATTGTCTTTAGCAATGGGGCCTTGCCTTCAGTTTGTGGAGAGCAACCTATTGTCTCGGCAACAGCCTGGGTTGTTTGGGGATTCCCATGGGACTTATTTGGCCAACAACTCTATTAGACATAACCCAATCCCAGTACTGGCAGCTTCATTTGGTGACAAGAGATGGCCAGTTTGGGCTGTGTTGCTTCTATTATTTGGTGAATTCATTTAGAACACTTTCATATATTTTAGGAAGCTTCTACTGCATTAGGTGTCTTGGGATCTCTATTACACCATGACCACAGCAACTCTTTTTTTTTTTTTTTTTTTTTTTTGGTTTTTCCGAGACAGGGTTTCTGTGTAGCTTTGCGCCTTTCCTGGATCTTGCTCAGTAGACCAGACTGGCCTCGAACTCAGAGAGATCCGCCTGGCTCTGCCTCCCGAGTGCTGGGATTAAAGGCATGTGCTACAACTGTCAGGCCACAGCAACTCTTATAAAGGAAAACATTTAATTGGGGCTGGCTTATGGTTCAGAGGTTCAGTTCATTATAATCATGCTGGGAAGCATGCTGAAAAATATAGCAGCATGTAGGCAGACATGGTATTGGAGAGGTAGCTGAGGGATCTACATCTGGATCTGCAGGTGGCAGGAAGAGAGAGTGAGCTGCTAGGCCTGGCTTGAGCTTCTGAAACCTCAAACCTCCTTCCCCTAGTTCCACCAAACAAGGCCACAACTTTTCCAACAAGGCCATACCTCCAATGATGCCACTCCTTATGAGTCTATATATTTTTTTTGGGGGGGGGGGTTGGGAAACTTTTAATGCTTGCTTTAATTCACGAGGGGTTACAAGTCTGTTTAAATTGCTTATCTGATATTGATTTAAATTTGGTAAGTTGTTGTTTTTTTTACCCCAGTTCCCAAATAAATCACACATGGAGGCTTCTTCTTCTTCTTCTTCTTCTTCTTCTTCTTCTTCTTCTTCTTCTTCTTCTTCTTCTTCTTCTTCTTCTTCTTCTCCTCCTCCTCCTCCTCCTCCTCCTCCTCCTCCTCCTCCTCCTCCTCCTCCTCTTCCTCCTTC